ACTAATTTTGGGACTTGTGTTTTGGGGTGAAAAGCAGGGGAGGGGAATGGGCTGGTTGCTCTCAGATGTAGGGATGCAAAATTAACTAATGATGGGGATAATGTTTTGGGGTGAAAAAGGGGGAAACTGGGCTTGTTGCTCCCAGGTGTGGGTGTTGCCAAATTAACTAACATGGGGAGGTGCATTCTGGGGGAAAACTGTCTGAGTTTGGTGAAAAGCATCAGACAGACAGTTTTGTGTTTTTTGTTTTTTTTTATTTATTTATTACCTTTTTTCCCCCCTGTTCCTGCCACAGCTGACGTGATGGATCCAGGGGAGGAGCCGTGTCCTCCCCAGGACCGAGGTGATGGGGATGTCCCCAAGGAGGCCTGTGCAGGTGAGGGAGGAACACAGGGATGAGCCTGATGGGTGGCCAAAAGAGCACCCAGGAGATGGTCTTTTGGGGAAAACACCAAGAAAACAGGGAAAATGTGGGCCAGGAGGTGGTCTTCTGCTAGGAGTAGTGCTCCATGGTGGAGAAACTGGAGGCCAGGAGATGTTCTCCTTCATGGAATAACCCTCTGTGACCCACCAGGAGATGTTCTTTGGGGAACATCCCTGTGTGGTTGGACAATGACCCAGCAGATTTTCCTCTCCTCTCTCTCAGGTGATGAGGTGCAGGCCCACAGTGGTGGTCACCCAAATGGCTCCATTAATCTGCCAGGTCTCCTGGAGGATGGCAGGACGCCACCAAAGCCCTACCACTGCATGGAGTGTGGGAAGACCTTCAGCCGCAGCTCTGACCTGGTCAAGCACAAGAGGACCCATACCGGGGAGAAGCTCTATGGCTGCGGGCAATGTGGGAAGCGCTACAAATACAGGACACACTTGGTGTCCCACCAACGGACCCACACCGGCGAGCGGCCCTACCGATGTGGGGAGTGTGGGAAGACCTTCAGCCTGAGCTACAGGCTCCTCGAGCACCAGATGATCCACACGGGTGATCGACCCTTCACCTGCAGCCAATGCGGTATGAGATTCACCCACAGCTCCTCCTTAGCTGTGCACCTCCGGTCCCACACTGGCGAGAAGCCCTACGTCTGCACGGGCTGCACCCGTGCCTTCAGCCGCAGGTACACCTTGACTGAGCATTACCGCACCCACACTGGTGAGACACCCTACGCTTGTCCTGAGTGCGGGAAGGCCTTTAGACAGTCCTCCAACCTGGTCACACATCTCCGGACCCACACCGGGGAGAAGCCCTACAGCTGTGGGTGCTGTGGGAAGACCTTCAAGCAGAGCTCCAACCTGATCAAGCACGAGAAGATCCACACAAGGGAGAAGCCCTACTCCTGTGGGCAATGTGGGAAGACCTTCAGTTTCAGTTCCGACGTGGTCAAGCACCAGAGGTCCCACACAGGGGAGAAGCCCTATGGCTGCAGGCAATGTGGGAAGTGCTTCATGTACAAGACCCAGTTGATTACCCACCAACGAACCCACAATGGCGAGCAGCCCTACCAGTGTGGGGAGTGCGGGAAGACCTTTGGACAGAGCTCCAACCTGATCGAGCACCAACGGATCCACACAGGTGAGCGACCCTTTGCTTGCAGCCAATGCGACAAGAGCTTCAGCCGCAAATCCACCTTGGTCGCGCACCTCCGAACCCACACCGGCGAGAAGCCCTATGAATGCCCAGTCTGCACCCGCACCTTCAGAACCAGCTCCAAATTGACCGAGCATCGCCACACCCACCTTGGTGAGATGCTCTACTACATCTGCCCTGAGTGCGGGAAGACCTGCACACGGACCCCCGACCAGGTCAACCATCTCCAGACCAATGCCAGGGAGAAGCTCTATGACTGTGAGCACTGCGGGAAGACCTTCAGCCTCAGCTCTGACCTGGTCCAGCGCAAACGGACCAAACCAGAAGAGAGGCCATTCTCCTGCGGGCAATGTGGGAAGAGCTACAAGAACAAGGGGGACTTGGTGTATCACCAACGGACCCACACTGGCAAGCGGCCATACCGGTGTGGGGAGTGCGGGAAGACCTTCCAGCATAGCACCAGGCTCATTGACCACCAACGGACTCACACGGGTGAGCGACCCTTCCCTTGCAGCCAGTGCAACAAGAGCTTCACCCACAGATCCACCTTGGTCGTGCACCTCCGGATCCACACCGGCGAGAAGCCCTATGTATGCCCAGTCTGCACCTGTGCCTTCAGAACCAGCTCCAAATTTGCTGTGCATCGCCGCACCCACACCATTGAGAATCCCTAGGGCTGCGGGTGCTTGCAGGAAGACCTTCCACTACAAGTCCCAGTTCACCCACCACCTGAAGGTCCACCCCAACGGGGATCTGGTGTGTGACGAGCTCCGTGGAGGCTGCATCGCTGCTTTTGTGTGTGTTGGGTTTGTGTGATGGCGATGGGGGCTACAGGGGTGGCTCCTGTAGAAGCTACTGGGAGGAGGAGGTGCACCAGAGGTTCCCCTGCAGCCTGTGGTGAGAACCATCTTGTCCTTGCCCATGTCCTTCATCCTGCCCCAATGTCATGTCTACAGCCCAGGGAGCGTCCCCAGGTCTCCATCCCACCTCCAGGTAGCCATCTCCATGTCCACATCCCACCTCGGTGTCCCCATCTCCATGTCCCCATCTCGGTGTCCCCACCCCACCATGACCTCCCCATTTCCCCCCCATATGTCAGGAAGTAGTGGTGAATGCTGCTGCTGTGGTTCCTGACTGGGGGTTACTGGGAGCACTGGGTGGGATTTGAGAGGGCAGTGGGAGCACTGAGGAGGGATTTGGGGTGTCACTGGGGATTACTGGGAGCACAGGGGAGGGATCTGAGGTGTCACTGGTGTTACTGGGAACACTGGCAGAGACTGAAGGCCGCTGGAGGGTTAATGGGGGTCTGGGGTGGTACTGGGTGTTACTGGGAGGGACTGGGGGGGCACTGGGAAGGAGTAGGTAAATCACTCCCCTTGTCTTGACGGTCAGGCGATCTAGCACTGTATGTCTCTGGATATGTTTGCTATAGGTTTTAAATAAAATTTGCATTTTTTTCTCCTTCCAACTCCTGGTTCTTTTCTTCACTAGAAGTCACAGACGCATCAATGTCTTTTTCCCAAAAATTTGACCGAGCTTAGTTTGCTGGAAGGGGAAAGGCTATGGATGGAGTTACCTTCCGTGAGTGTTCTGGACAATGGGTGCACGCCCAGCACCGTGATATTTGGGCTGTTTTTGTGTTCATTCAAAAGGTCATTTTGAATTCCGTGGGTCTGGCAGTTCTTCAGCTCCTTGGCCACGAGGAAGCTCTCTCCAGGCGCAGCAGCAGCACACGGACATCTGCTTCCAGGATCTAGCGTGTGGCAACAGCTCACTGTTGAACCCACCTGAATGAACACACTCTGAAAACCGACATAACGCATTTCCCACGCCTCCCCGCGATCGGGGACGCACGCTGTCACGCCGAGGCGCGGCGCTACCTCCTGCCGCCAGGCGGCGGCGCGCTGCAAACTGACGGCGGGGCACGCACCGCTC